CCACCTTTCTTCAGTGGTGTACCTCAGCTTTTAAAAAAGTTATTACTATCTCCTATATCTTCTTTTTCTATTAGTCGTATTATTAGTCTTATCCAGCATCATGTGTTGCCACAACTCTGCTGGCAGGAGACCTATAGAAATTGGAAACTGGTTCTTAAAGCTTGAACTTGAATGATCAGAATGATAAAATAGTAATTGTGGATTGACTTGCGGTGATGCGAAGACAGCAATATATGGAAAAAACGTGGATGAAGATCTTTAACTTGGCTACAGAGGTTAGGTCTGGTTTGATGCACGAATTTTTGTGTGTGTGTGTGCTGCATGCACATACGTGTGGTTGGCAAGCTAACTTGCACTGCCTTTGTTTGCCATTTTCACACCTGCAAAAGCAGTGTTTGCATGAGTTGGTTTTGAAACTGTTACAACTACAACATCCAACAGGGCACACTCTGGTATGCTCTAGTTGTTTCTCCCTTCTCTAACGTGCTTAGAGAAGGGCTGCATAGGAATTAGTGTTAAATATGTCTGTATTTTTCCATTCCTGTACTTGTAAAAACAGGTATCTGTAGTTATAGTGTGTCCGCTTACCTGGACTTCTGAAAATATGGCACAATATTTTAATTTTTCTACTAACAGTCACTTGAATAGCTTATCAGTGGACAAAAATACAATGAAAATCTCCCTTTTTACCAGTGCTGAGGAAAAACAGTTCGTATTCTTTTGGACTGCAAGTTATCAGAATGTAAGGCAATTATTGCATCGCTTGTTATCTATTCTAAGCATTAGATTTTTCACATTTGGGAAGAAAATAATTATTTAAAAAACTCAATGATGGTGATTTGATGCTGTAAAATATTTAAGGCGTAGGAAATAGCCCTGACAGAATTAGAGGGCAGAGTACAAGTGAGTTGTTCTATGATGCATAATAAATATGATTTATCATATGCTGCCACCATGTGTATTATGAAAGTGGCAGCCACACATGGGATACGTGTATACATAAAATTTAAATTAAATCTGCATTGTAAAACTGAGGTTACATATTCATATGTATTTTCACATGCTCAGGTTTTAGCTTTTTATTGGGTGATTTCAGTAATCACAGTGACTTCTAAATTCTCTTTGTTCTGTCAGTCAATATTCTTTTCTAAGTGAAGCAGTATGATTAATGCAAAAAAATAAGTTGAATGAGGAAATAAACGTTCTGAATTTGTGTAATTGTCCTGAAACTATCTGCTACCATGTTTCTTTTCCGCTTTAAACAAACATGTACTTAGGGTTATGTATCTAAATTAATTCTGAAACATCCTTCCCATTTAACCAGGTCAAATGCTGCATTTATAGGGGAGAAAGATTTTTGGAAGAAGTTGAGGTTATTTATTGTCTGTCTTAAAATAATTTTGCCTTCCCTGACGGGGAAAAAAAGTGGTTTCCTTCTTCATATTCTGTATACATGTGCTATTTTGTGGTGCGGGTACAACTGAAGTGTGCCTCTCTGCTACAAGTGATGTGAAGGAGTATGTGAGGCAGTTTGCTATTTCATATGTATGTAAGGATAGTATTGTTTAAACATGCTCTTCGGAACATTTTTACTCCATTATTTTTCTTCTAAACCACAACTTTTTCAATACCACGGTCTTGTCTGCCATCGTTTTGATAGTTAATATTACTGAAATAATAAGCTGAAAAGAAATTAAAGCCTCCAGACAAAAATAGCAGGCTTTATGCTATTTTAAACACACAGATGCACCTTTAGTAATATCTGAAAAGATTCATAGATTGGGACAAAATTCAGTTGATGCTTGCCTTGTGTTAGTTGCAAACCTCTGCCTTTCAGTACCTTCTGATTATGCCTTTATAAATTGCAGCATAAGCTTAGGAAAATGCCACTTTTAGAATTGGCAGTGAAAGCACTTTTCATTGAAAGGTAGTTTTGTACTTTTCTACTTGGGATTAATCTAATCATCCACTGGAAGGCAGTCTTCTCTTTGTTTCATTCTCCTGCCTTCCAGTATTATTTAGGTAGCTGCACCACTGATTAGCTTCTTGCAAAACAAAGTAATACTTGCACCTTGTTTGTGTGTAGTTGGAAAGTTTCTTCATGCAAGTGACATCTTTGCTTCTGCTTATAATTCGTTGTGTAAATTGTCCATGTACACAATTATAACTTCCGTGATATTTGAGGTGATTTGTTAGGTTGTGGACCTTTTGCATCTGTGCCTGTCAGTGATACATTACTTGGTGGTATGACTTTTGTGCTGTTGTTCAAGGAATGAATTAATAGAATTTTTCATGCTTTATAGACCTCTCAGCTAGATGGGATAGAACACTTTTAATTAATACATCTACATTAGTCAGTTATGTATATAGTTAGGTATGCTAAAATGATTGTTGGAACAAAACCAACTACACTTCAGTATTATTTACTTTTAAAGGAACTGATAAATTGTGCATTGGGAGGTTTTGTATTTCAGTGATTAAAATAAAACTTGTGTAAATATGTATTTAAATTAGGTATATAAATGCAAACAGCCTTGCATCTGAAACCTGTGGTGTGTCATGAGAGGCAAATGGTAAGGTTTTGCCTCTCACCTTTGAAATTTGACAGTCTTTGGCTATTGCCTCAAATTAATTTTTGCTGTCCTCACTGGAAGCATAACAGCAGCATTTAAATTGTGATTCATTTGCCTGTGTTGTCTTTGGAAACAAAGAAATACAAAAAAGATAGGATATGAGGGCACATGGATGAGACTGATTGGGAGAAAGTTTTAAAGTGTTAACAAAGAAGAAAGAAAAGATGACATTTTGAAGTGGAAATGAGAAAAGAGGAGTATTGGGAGGAACCCAAAGGAGATACCTGTATATCCTTAATGTAACTCTGTTTTCCCTTTGTTTCACAGAGGTGAGGGATCTAGTCACTTTTCATTTTGATTCTGTAAAGTGAAAAAGTTTTCACCAGGTTCAGCATGCTGTTTAAAGAGATGTTATACTTCAAAAATAAATTAATTCAGGAGAGTTGAGTAGCCTTTGTTACAGAGGAGGTCAGACGTGACGGTCGGAACACTCCCTTCTGGCCTACGAACCTATAAATCTATCAGTGTGTTTGATTTTCTTGTCTCCCTCTTGTGGAACTGGAGTTTTGGTCAGTAGGAGCTTCTCGTTTCTGAACTGAAATACAGCTCTGATCCTGTAACTGAAATTGGTAATGGCTAAGTTTAAGCCATTGACCTGATGTTACGGATGCATTTGGAGCTGGAGACACTGAGAGACAGGGAAGGGGAAACATGTCCAGTTAATGTCACTTGTGTAACTCTGATAAAAATTGACTTTTTAAAAATAATATAATTGGAGGTCTCAGAGAAAGATAGCTCAGCAAGAGTGCTGAAATTTTATTTTTCTTTTATTGTAAAAAGTGTAAAACAATGTTAATCATTTCAGTCACATGAAGGAAAGCGGGGGGCGGGGGGAGAAATACAGCAGCCTTTTCTTTCTCTGTTCTTCAGATAAGCTGCTATTGCTCAGCATTATCCTTTCAGCAATCCTTCATTTTTTGTTCTAAATGCTTTTGCCCCTAGCAAGTTTTACTACTATGGAATGTACGTGGACCACTTCTCAAAATGATGCAATCTGACAGGAAATCAATATTTTTTTCAGACTAGATTTGAGGGTGTGATTGTCACAATCCTCATCTTAGACTATTAATGGGTGAATACTAACCCTGATTTTTATCTCTATATCCTTTAGTAGAAAACATACCTTTCTCTTCCTTCCTGCTGGTTGCTCTCTAGAAGTGGTTTGAGGTGCATTGTTTTCAGTGGAAAAAGAATACATATATATTAGAATTGGGTATCTGCAGATATACCTGTATTTTCTAAGTAAAGCATGGATATTCCTACAGATGGATTCTGCTGTTACGTGTTGTGGTATCTTCCTTAGAATTAGACTTTCGAAACTGAAAAGTTCCTTAAAGCCATCTAATCAGGATGTTAGCTCTAGGTAAAGCAACTGCTCTGTTGTTGAAGTAATAAGTTTAATTATACAAAGAAAAGCTGAAATAGAATTGGTGCTGTTTCTTAAATGTTTACAGTACGAATACTAGTCCTCTTTGTGTTCAACTTTTGTTTACAGTTTCTGGCAGCCTGTTTTAGGTTTTATGCTTTTAGTTTTGTAAAGAGGGAAGCATGCTTTGCCTTCAAATTTTATAGTCTGAAGACTTCCTAATTTTAAGTAAGATCAGATGAGGATTCCTAGCTGGAAAATATATAGGCATATTTGCAGGACTGTTTTTGTTGATATTTAGTATTTGACAAGACTTCCCCTTGTAAATCTACAGATGTATGCAGTGATTGCTTTTGAACATAAAATGCAATCAATTTTACTCAGTTACTGGGTTCTTAAATCTCAAAAGCTATTTTTAATGACATAGCCTAATCAGTTGATACTGTGGCTAATGGTGTGATGACAGCTTTTGGAAAAAAATCCATTATTTGTTTAACCAGCAGCTTAGCTGGTAAGAAAAGTCCAATATCTTTTTCCTCCTTAGAATCTGTGTTTTCAGAGGTAACCTTTTCAGATTCAGCACATAGTTTTTGACAGAGAGGAGTTTTCCTTGCTTCAGTCAGGTCAGCTGAGCTGATGCGAGGCACTTGGGTGACATGCCCAAGGTCACAGCCTGGCCTGCTGGCTGTGGTTTTCTGCACCCCTGAGGCAGTCCGTCCTCTCTCTCTGGTTTCTGAGCTGCTTCAGATGGGAAATCCTGTAGGTGTAATTTCTTAAAGTGATATTAATAGTATGTTATTACTGTTGCATTTCTCAAGTAAACGAAAACTTTACTATTCATCTCTTGCCTGCCTTGAATTGAAAGAAAATGAGGCGGAGCAAGGTAAACAAGCTGAAACAGACTGTGAAATTACACACGATGAGAATGCTATTTTCTGACTGCTTATCCTAATGCCATGGGTTAACACTCCACCTAATGACTGCATTTAAGCAATTTTTACCTCAGCGTATTTTGATCCGGTGCTAATAGCGCCGTGAGAGACACCGGCCCGCGACGCGGTGCTCCGGGGCGGACGGGCAGCCGGGTGGTGCCGGTGAGAGGGCCGGTCCGGCGGCGGCGGGAAGCGGGGACGGCCCGCTC